TGATTTACGTTTAAAGCTAGTGCTCTGACTGGTATACTTACATGCAGATCTTGTTCAACGGGACGCCTTTGTATATTGTTTTTACTAATTTGAATATTATGAAGATCTACAACTTATTTAAGTATTTATAAATGTCTCATTGTGACAAAACGATCTCTTTATAGCACGAAGCCTGATAAACTGATCTTACTGGTTGTTTGTTTCTCTAAAACGTTTAATGACTTGAGATATTGTAGTATACTCCTAATCTCAAGCCTATTTCAACTTAACCATATATCAGCTAAAGTAATTGCCTGCACACATTCATTTCGGCTCAGATTTCTTGAAATACGGTCTATGTCAACTAAATAACATACGCAAAATAGAAAACAGCAAATATTGCATTGTAAATAATATTGACAGTCTAAAACTGTTGTGTTAAATTGTTTAATTTTTCATAGCCAACTAACTGCTTCCATTAATGATAGTAAAATTCAATAAAATCACGTTATGCTTTAAATGCACTTTTCTTTTTTGATAATAAAGATATCGGTAATTTTTTTAAGAAATTGTTGACAAAAATAAAGCTGTCTCGAAATATTAATAAGATAGGTTAGGTCTTAGTTCCAAAATATTATGAACCTTGGACTGTTGGAAGTTGAATTTAATCTTCACCTGTGGCTGGCTAACCAGCTACAAGGTAGACTTTTTTAATATGTGATATTTTAGATTGATCTCACTTGTTTATTTATTGCGTCTTTTAACCGATCATTGAGGGAAAAATGGTGATCTTAAAAGCACCTTTTTCTTTCATTTTTTGGTTTGTACTGATAAGGTTATGACCCAATTTATCTCATTTTTTAAATTTACCGCTCTATTGCACTAGCGGTTGGCAACTCGCCTTGCTGTTCTATCATATTTTGACCTCAAGGCCACTGTCTTTTCACGTGATGGCTTGGGTTTCTTTGCTTCCATTTTGCCCGCAGCAGCTGAGAAAGCCAAAAGTGGTAACCTCATTATACTTTTTAATATTACTATATTTCAATCATAATCATTTCAATTATGTTAAGTAAAGTTAAAATTAAATTTAACTAAATATACTGTTGGAAGTGTGATCTCATGATCTTGTTAGTTCTCTGCAAATTAGTGTTTTTTACATAAGCTTTTTTACATACTTTTTATATACATGTACAATTACCACATGGTTTTTTGCTGTGCTAAGTTTGAGTTAATTTGTAAACTGTATTTAGATTCAATAAATTGTTTATACAACATAATCATTTAGTGGCCAATGTCGTAAGCTTCTTTACATATTTAATATCATTGACTGCTACATGTCTTTTTGAGGTAACACTTTTTTCTATGGATGTTTATTTTTTCATATTGTTCCTTTTAGATGAACTGATGATGCTTTCTGATTATAAAGCGAAATGTCTTCAATAAATAGATGAATTAGCCACCTTCTTTGTCTTGTTTCTCTCCACCTTTTGACCAAAAAACCCACCACTATTCGAGGGATCCTTAATTTATATTGGATTAACGGTCCTGTATAGTATATATTGGAATATTATATATATATATATATATATATATATATATATATATATATATATATATATGTGTGTGTGTGTGTGTTTCCTTTTGGGCGACGTTATTTTCTACTTTTTAAACGGTTTGCTTATTTAGAAGTATGATTTTAGAAAACTGAAAGATCCCAATGTTCGACTGAAGGTGAGTGGAAACCTCAATACAAGGGTGCTAACATGCAACAATGCAGAAACTATAGAGGAAAGTCTGACCATCATACAAGAAACAGTGAGAGAAATAAAAGAACAACACCTGAAGAAAGACACAGAGAAACGCAAATCGTGGATGACCGATGAAATACTTGAGCTTATGGATCAGAGAAAAAAATCTAAGAAAATCTCCAAGAATATAAGAGAATACATACCATCGTCAGAAGAAAAATAAGAGAAGCCAAAGAGAAACAAAAAACAGAACAATGCCAAGAAATAGAAGAATATCAGAGTCGATATGATAACTTCAATGTTCATCGAAAGGTGAAGGAAATAGCTGGAAAGTTTCGAAAACGCAACAGCGTAAAAATAACATAATGAAGGCAATCTTGCGATAACCAAAGAAGATAAAAAAAAGTATGGGAAGAATACTTGGGAAAACTTTTCCATGACCTTAGAACAGTACAAGAGCCCATCGTTGAAGAAAATTCAGGTCCCGAAATCCTACCAGAAGAAATAACGGCAGCCCGTCAGACAAATGAAGGATGGCAAGACACAGGGACTTGATGAAATTCCTGCAGAACTGCTAAAGCTATTAGATACAGAATAAATAAAAATAATAACTGATATATTTAATGAAATATACAAGGCAGAAAAAATACCAGTAGAGTGGCTCAAATCGGAGTTCGTACCATTGCCCAAAAAACCAGGAGCAAAAGTTTGTGAAGATTATAGGACAATAAGCCTAATGAGCCATCTGCTGAAGCTGTTTTTAAAGGTCATCCACAAAAGAATTTACCGGAAATGCGAGGAACAAATTGCACCCAATCAGTTTGGATTTGTGAACGTCGTTGGTACGAGGAAAGCTTTATTTAGCGTGCAGATCTTGTTTCAGAAATGTAAAAATGTCAGCTGTAATGTTTTTGCATGCCTGATTGACTACAAGAAGGCTTTCGATAAAGTCAGGCATGAACAAATGATGGAAGTGTTGAAGAGGACAGGGATTGATGGAAGAGACTTAAAAATTATAGCTAATCTGTATTGGAATCAATCAGCGGCACTCCGAATAGATGGAGAATATACAGAACAATTCAAAATCTTAAGAGGAGTGAGACAGGGGTGTATAATTTCACCACTGATATTAAGGGCTGCAAAACTTAATGAACAAAATAACAGAAACAAGTAGAACTTATGGACTGGATATAAACACCAGCAAAACCAAGCTAATGATCATCAGCAAGCAAAACATAACTAGAGCAAATCTGTATGTGAACCAAATGAGAATTGAACGTGTCTCACAATACAATTACTTGGGAACTATAATCAATGAGTCGAGTGACAATACCCAAGAGATTAAATGTCGCATCGGAAAGGCCAAAAGTGCATTCTTGGCTATGAGCTCTGTGTTCAAAAGCCATGACCTCACCCTGAAAACAAAAATAAGGCTCCTTAAATGTTACGTGTACTCAGTGCTTCTGTATGGAGTAGAAACGTGGACATTGAAGGCGGAAACTCTATCAAAACTTCAGGCGTTTGAATTATGGTTATACAGAAGAATCCTGAAGATACCATGGACAGACAAAGTCACCAATGAAGAAGTACTGCGGAGGATGAACACAACCGCGGATTTGGTCAATATTAATATTGACAAAAAAAAAATGCGGACTCAAACAACGAAATCGACTGCTCTGGCAGCCGGTTCACCGAGTAGTTGTATCTGTTATCATCCCCCAAAATCATTCTCTTGTCAGCATACATTTTCCCACTAACCTAAGGCGGAATTCACACCAAAGCAGTAGGCAACAAGCAATAAGCGATGCGCGATCTGAGTTGCTCATATCATGCTGTATACAAATGCATTGTGTAGGTTGAGACATTTCAAACCGAGGCGACAGCGATATCGTATCGAATAATAGGGTCTGGAATCGGACGATTTATATTATATAGGTTGTGTTGCTAATTGCTTGTTGTGTCAAAAAGGTCGGAAGAAAAGCAAAATATTATATTTGTACAAATCATCGAAAAATATCCTTGCTTATACAATTTTACCAGGGACGATTATTCTAAACGTAGTGCAACGGAGAAAGCTTGGTGTGCAGTTTCTATGGAAACAGGTATATCAGGTGAGTACAAAAGGAAACCACCGTTTTGATTTTAATTTTTTATTTATTTATTTTTTATTTATTTTTATTAATTTATTTTTATTTATTTTGTGGTATTTTGGCAAATACACAGCATTTCACAGTATCTTGGCCTACTCGAAATTATATTCATGCTCTACACAGTACTTCCACTGCCGTGGAATTGCTGCTTGAGAAGAGATAAAATATTGAGATAAATAATTTCGTAGTGCTGTTGCAATATTGTGTTTAGTAGTATGTAAATTAATTTCAGGAAGAAGTATAGGTCCAGATTCGTTTAAAACATTAACATCGTCTTCTAACAGAGGTGCTGAAAAACAACCTTCAGTGTTTGGTATAAAATTGTGTAGGACACAACCAGCTTTTATTATATTATCTACAGTTTCTTGTCCACATGCAATAGGTTTCAAAAATTCGGAATTTACTAACTAACATGCCAAATGCGCATTCAACGCTTTTACGACCGCGAGATAATCGATAGTTGAATATGCGCTTTTCATCGTTTAATAGCTTTTTTGGAAAAGGGCACATGATGTTTTTACGTAATTGGAAAGCCTCGTCGGCACAGAAGTAAAATGGAAATGTATTACCGCTTTCATTATGAGGCAAAGATCTTGGTGGTGGAAATTTTAATTCATTTCTATCCAATAATCGTCCAAGTTTACTGCTTTAACAACAGCACCGTCGCTATTTCGGCTGTAATCGCCAACATCAATAGTCACAAACATTCCATCATCATCTGCAGTTGCCATTAATACCACAGAAAAAAATCTTTGTAGTTGTAATTTTGCGATCCTGTGTTACGGAATTTCTTTATTCGGATATGCTTTCCGTCGATGACGCCTATACAGTTTGGTATATTCCAAAGTTCATTGTATCTATTTGCTATAGATGTCCATTTTGTTTCATCTGGAGCTGGCATGTAGTGAGGTTGTAAAGAGTTGAAAATAGGAGCTGTTGTTTCTTGTTTCGTGGATGATGTTGCTAATGGTTCTGCATCCTCTAAAAATGCAAGTGATAATGCTGCAAAGCTGCTGCCTGTTGCCAAATACTTGAAACAATATTTTTTTTATTGTATCATATATCTCACAGTACAAATATAAATAAGTATTTGTAATACATAGTATTTATTTTTAGTTACTGAATGCAAAGAAAAATGGAAGAATTTGCGGACTGCACTGAAACGAGCTCAAAACAAGCTACCGTCAGAATCTCATGCCAAAAAGAAAAAATATTATTTAAACGATGTAATGTCATTTCTTTTTTAATGTCGATGCCACAGTCTGGTAATCTACCCTCACCGAGTAGAGACAATGATAACGACTTAGCAGAACCTCCCATAGAAGTGACAGAAACTAATACGAGTACCAATAATACAGATTCAACCGTCATAGAAGAAGACAATAAAGACCCCCTGATACTCAAGATTGTGAAGGTAGTGCTGTTGACACGCAGAAAGACAAAAATTACCTCTGCGTCCTAAACATTTTGTTCATACACTAAAGAAAAAGAATCGCGCAGCATCTGTGACTTCTACTTTGTCAGATGAGGCGGATAAATCTTTTATAGAATATATGAAACGGCAAACTAACGCAGAAAAACCCATCAGTGCAGAAGTGGAATTCCTACAGAGCCTGCTGCCAGATGTTATGCAAATGGATTCCAGGAGAAAACGGAGGTTTAAGTGATCAGAGTTAATCGACAACATATTGGCGGAGCAGGAAGGAGAACAAAATCTGCAATTTGCAGGCCCCACTTCTTCGTCGGCATCTTCCCAGTAGAGTCAAGACGCGACTACTCTTCTAATGTATCGGCAGCTGAATATCTTGCTACTTGGAACATGCAATAATAAACTAATTCTTCTTTCTTTTTAAATTATGTTGTAATCGTATTTTTGTACTAGAATACTTTTGGTCTTAGTTAAATATAAAAGTTTTCTTATCCAGTCATTAGAATATATTGTTTGCCAAACTACACTTACCTCAAAGTAATTAGCAGACGTTCCTCGGGGCTTACTGCTAATCTGTAATTCGTATCTTTCTTAAAGATAATCGGAGTCTCAGCAAAACTGAGAAATTCTCTTTATTCATCCTGTAGAAACTTTAAAATGTTTCATGGTCCAAACTCAGTTCTGTAGCAACCACACTCACTGAATGAACTAAACTTCTCACATGAAAAGGTCGTACCCAACATCGACGTTTCTTTTTGTTTGGTTTTAATCGTATTCGTTGTAACAGGTAATAAGAAATTACGACGTTGTTCACGACGGACATTTTGTATATCGAATGAATATATTGCTTCGATTAGAACAAATGCACGATAAGAGATTGTATATCGCATGTAGAGTATTGCCTGTTGCCCATTGCCTTGGTGTGAATTCCACCTAAGTGGAAAGATTTATATTTATTTCCAGCATAAATATCTAGGCGGAACAAAGATCAATTGAAACAGCAATTTTAATTCATACAAACATACTCTTAAATGTTTACATTACTAACCTAGAGACGCAAAAAGATTAAGAATATTTTTCGGCGTTTTAATATATACGGGGTAATACAAAAATGCTGCATTATAAAATTGAACCCGGCTTTGCCCAGAGCTTAAAAGGTTACCGTCTAGCAAATTAAAACTTATGGCTAAGAATTTGCATAGAATATAATATTTATTAAAATAAATCTTAGAATAAAATATTTTTAAACATTTACTTCTTATGTTTTTATATTTTTAAAGTTTTATATATATATATATATATATATATATATATATATATATATATATATATATATATATATATATTGATGATCTTGTATTTACTTTTTGTAAGTAAAATTATTTTATATACTAATAACTGTCCTTGTTTTCAGGAAACGCGCTGTCCTGCAAAGAAACATTCAGTTTGCTGTATTACGAGTTTGATGCAGTAACTAGAGAGCCCCCTCCATGGGATGCTGAGAGATATAAGTTAATAAGTAAGTACTACATAGATTTACGTTACAATACTTCAAAAACCCTACAACAACTCGTCGGTGACCTGGCAATATCTCCTATATGACTTCACCTATACTTTTCAGGAGAGACAAAAAACTTTATAATTATAAAATTTTAACATATTTCAATTGTTTGATTGTGTTTTATGATCTGTCTGAAAACGACATTTTTACTTCTTATGAAAAAAGTTAATATTTAATTGAATTTAATTACTATTAAACTGGGAATAAGCCACAATTAAAGATAAAAATACGTTTATTGCCGTTTCAATTTCCACTTCAGAAAATAGCTTCAGAACAATAATAATTGAATTTAGTTTTGTAAAGCTAGAAAGAAGGTATTGCTTTAAGTAATGTTACTGATAGGAGATACTGATTTTAATTTAATGTGAACTTAGGAGTTGTTGTTTATTAAAATTAGTCATAAATGCTCTTTTATCCAAAAAAATAAATAATTCTTTAAAATTAAACATTCATTAAATTAAACAGTTTTATTCAATGCAATATAAAACACTTATTATCATAAAACACAATATTAAAACAACGAACAAAAATTATTTCATAAGTAGGTATAATATGTCTAAATGAACAAAATAAAAGGATCTATCCGTGTAAAAGACCATCTTAAAAAGAAATGCGAATCTTTCGGTTTGGTCAATTTTAGATCTTGTAAATGTTGCCATTTCTTCATGTTTATTTTAGGAGGCGATAGAAATAAAGGTGGATAGTCCAGAATTGTTGGCGTAGTCTTTGGTCTGATAGGGACTTGTAAGTATTCTCCTTTATGGTCAGTTTTTATTTCTACGATCCCAACTGGATCGTATTTGATACATTTTACATCAGTAATGGTTGGGTCATACGTTTTTCTTCCTGGTCGGATTGAGGAATATCGCATGTGGTTGGAGGATGAATAGTCTTTAAAAACGTATATTCTAATATTTTGACTTTATATGGCTTAGCTCCCTTTCTAGCTTGAGCTGTTATTGGAAGCATAGTCACTGGGTAAATGGATTTCCTTATTTGTAAGATTCTTTTATATTATACTATGTACCGAGTCACATTCCATTTGAGAGTGACATGTTTGATAGCAAGGTTTAGTAAAGCGTTGGACAGAATATTATTACGATTTTGATAACCGCATCCATCAAAATAAATAACCAATAACGTTTTGGAATCGGTAACACAGTTCTCCTCTAAATAATGTATGATACAGGAAACAAATGTGGATGCTTTGAGCTGGTTATTTCCGTTTTCTGAAAACCAATAGCACATATCATCGCGAGTTTTTAGGTTGTAAACTGTAAAGTTATGGCAGGAAAATTTGGTTTTAAAGTACATTTTGTTCGGTGGTACATATGGGCACAATTTTAAGGCTTGAAGGTCCATTGTTACTGCTATTATTTCATCTTTTTTACTTATGGCTTTATCCAAAGATTTAGCTTCTTTGGCGTCTTCCATTCTCTTTATATGAGCTCTATATTCTTCTTCAGTCGTATTCTTATGTTTAAATGCAAAATAAATATTGCATTGGTCCTTTTCTGTGTATATAAAGCGAAATTATTCTCCTTAAATCGTTTTGAGAATACATTGCGACCTAAAGGAGTTATATTCTATTCTTGGAAAAAACTGTTTACATAAACACCTTACAAATCTGACATACTATTAAAAGAATATTCTAAATACAATTTTTGTGTTTCGCTACGACAATAATGTGAAGGAAGTTTAGGTAAACTCTCAAAAAATTGTTCCAAGTATTTATGACTTTCTGTATACCTAGTCTTTACCATTTTCTTGGTACAAACACGTGATCCGTCGTCAGTCATACCGCAAAAACTATTATGCACCCAACAATGAATGGTTTTATAATCTATATCTGATGTATTTGTGAACATGCAACGACATACTTATAAGTTTTCATTCCCGTCATGTATGTAGTAAGTATACGTACCTTGTCTTCTTAAATTTTCCTTGTTTGATTTAAATTGTTGGAATGTTACATGAGATGTTACAAAGACCTTACGTTGATCCCTAGTCATATCTTAAAAGTTCTTAAATATATGACTTCTGCACTGCTCTGCAAATTTCTTGCAATATCTTAATTTGGAATTTCGACATTTTACTGACGTACATGCCTCTTTTAAAAGTTTTGCTTTTCTTTGTATATCTTGCTTAATCTTCCCGAATTTTTTACTAAACCCCATGTATACTTTACCTTCCATTCGAAGTTTTTTGTTTCTGTATCTTTTCCATTGATTTTTATTCTGATCAAGCTTCCTTTTTTTTTCCTGGTAACTTCAATATCACTGGTTGTTTTCATCAGATTTCTTTCAATATTATTGTTTATCCTAGTATTAAAACTTTCTTGAACATTAGGTACTGGTATTTGTAATTTCATTGATCTCGTCTTCGTCACTAAAATATTCATATGGCACAAGAGGTACGACACTTTTATTTTGTTCAATTGTATATCTGAAAGCAATTATAAAAACTAGATTTTTGTCTATGTTTATCGTTTTAGTTTAGAATCTTAATACTTTAAATTTTATAATCACATAATATTACCATTAATATGTACATAATATCATACATACATAATATCAGTACATAAATAAATAGACATTTTTCTCGTTCATAGGACTTGTACGGACGAATCGTTGGTGTAAGCAGATTCCGAATTAATCGATAACTCATTTTCATAAAAAATGCAGATAAGGGAACTTGCCAGGTCACCGACGAACTATAAAGTGAAATAGAATTCTCATCGGTTATTCAAAAGTTGTGATCACTATGTCCAGGTTAAATGTAACTATATCAGATTTTATCAAACTCATTCACTAATTGTATTAAGATTAATCCTCCCCATTTTTCTTCTAAAATAGAACAGTTTTTGTTATACCCAAATTGTAAAAAAACATGTAACCACGACGGAACGTAAGACAGATACCCCTAAATAAATTGGACTGCTTGCTGTATTCTGTGTATAGTGTCTACTCAGTCGAACAGAATACTTGAATACTTCAAATCAACCGAATTAGCAGTTTACACAAAAACTGCTCGTTTTTGGGTAGCCCGCACATTGGTATCCGGGATATGTTTCGCTTGTCTGTTCATTCGGAATATTTTGCTTGAGTGAATAAGTACCTTTAGAAAGAACGGTATATACTGTATAGCCATTTTAATAGAAGGTACACTAAGTATGTAAGTATTTGCTCTACGCAAAGTCCCACATTGCTTCTCTATCATGCCTAAAAGCACGGCTGTCACTTCCACCGTTAACGCCGAAATGTTTCGTATATGAATATGCACATCATCAGTTTCTAATCAAATCTTGTCATAAGAAAAGAAGGAACCACGTACACGTAAAAAATTAATAAATATATAAAAACAGTAACATGTAAAAAGGAGTTTTTTTTTCTATTTTTATAATTTTTAACCTTATTCGTTTTTT